ATTCTAATGGATTCACAAGTTTCAAAATCAATGTTCTAAAGCAGCAGTTCTTAATATTTTTCCTTTGCGAATCCAAAATCAATGTTCTAAAGCAGCGGTTCTCAATACTGTTCCTAGCGTTCCCCTGCTCTGCACATGCTCTGCAACTCTCTCTCTCTCTCTCTTTCTCTCATTCAGCTCAGCTCCAGCAATGAATTGTTACAATTATACACTTATTTTCACATAGCTATGAGAAGTATTAAACATGGCATGCAGTTGCCGAACTGTATTAAAGCTTTAATCAGGATAAAACTGTATATTAAAAGCTAACATAAGCATAGCATTTGCAAATAACAGCGTATCTAAAAGTATGAGACAACAACAAACAAAAAACATAGGCCTACCATTAAAAGCCGTGCTTGCAAACGTTCTGCACGATCCTCTTCAATAATATCCTCTGCTTCTCAATCGGGTTAAAACTGATAAGCGATATTAACGTCGCCGTTGTTTACAATACAACCGGAGCACATGCCACTGAGGAAAGTTTAGACGTGTACTAGTGGCGGTTTAGCCAATCACAACACACTGGGCTAGCTAACCAATCAGAGCCCATTGCCTATTTCTGAGGGAGGGGCTTCATAAAAGAAGGAAATGATCCAAGTACTGCTCACTGCAGAGCCAAATGACCTCCAGCTCCCCCTCTCTGGATGTTCAGCTCCACCTCTGTGTGAACTAATGGGTGGAGTTATGTTTAGCTATAGGGTAAGGGGTAGGGTTAGGGAGTGGTTGGGTGTCTAGCTCCACCCATTACATCCAGCGAGGGGGAGCTAGAGCTCCAGCTCCTCCCATTTGGCTCTGCAGCGAGCACCCTCTCAAATGATCAGTGCTTTTCAAGGGACAGAGAGGTGTGGAATAAAGGTAAATTATGTGAAAAATAATGTTGTTGTTTTTTTTAAACTAAGCATTAACACATGTTAGACTGCACCCCATAAACACAATCAAGCCTAGAAAAAAAACAGTGAACCACCCCTTAAAAAAAAAAACTAAGCTGGTTTGAGCTGGTCTGCACCCTGGTCTGACTGGTCTGTTGGCTTTATAGGGGGTTTTGGGCACTTTTCAGTTAAACCAGTTAAACACAAGCTTTGCCATGCTGGAAGCCCAGCTAAAACCAGCAGCTTAGGCTTTTGCTGGTATAGATTTATTTATTTATAAGCATGGATATTGGTTATGGATTTTAAATAATCCACTAATGCAACAAGACATAAAACCTTTTAAAAGTGGTTCCCATGTTAGTTGCTAACAAAATAATTAACTTGGTTACACTAAATGGTTTGCAGTCATAGTTCAGCAACACACAGAACATCAGTTTTAGACCAGTAGTGTAGAAGTGTAGGGGAGTGGGGTTACTGGAAGAGGATGTGAACTCTTTCAGTAAATGGTGAAAACCCCTGCTGTCAAACTGTGGGTGTGACAGTGATGAGTCTCAAACCAAAGACAGGTAAAGTCTTTCCACTCTGCTAAATGCACAAAGGTGCACTGCATTACTTCTGGAGTGAGGTTAAAGACACCAGAGGTGTTGTGAAAACAACAACAAAAAACATAGTTTTTTTTAGATTGAGACAGCGATAACGAACAAACAAAAGTTCTGATTCTGTGTGTACAAACCATGTGACTCCTCCCCTCAGCCATTACTTCTGGAGTGAGGCTAAAGACACCAGAGGTGTTGTGAAAACAACAACAAAAAACATAGTTTTTTTTAAATTGAGACAGCGATAACGAACAAACAAAAGTTCTGATTCTGTGTGTACAAACCATGTGACTCCTCCCCTCAGCCACATTGACACAAACCACAGCACAACACACTCGCACAGCTGTTTCACTCACTGTTCTGAAGAAGTGTTAATCAAATGCATAACTTAATTGAGTCAGATATAATTCAACTTAGTTATGTATTATAAGAACGGGAAAGAAACATATTTAAAATGAAAAGTTAGGATAAAACCTCATCCAAACTTATATGAAGTGTAACATAAACATGAACAGTTATGGGAAATGTTTATGTATACTACAGTTCAAAAGTTTGGAGTCAGTACTTTTTTAATTGATACTTTTGTTCAGCAAGGATTAAATCAACACATAAAAAAATACATTTAAATGTTACAAAATATTTTTATTTCAAATAAATGCTATGATTTAGAACTTTCTATTCATCAAAATATAAAAAATCCTAAAAAATGTATCGTTTAAAAAAATCAAATAAATGCCTTGGTGAGACTTTCAAAAACATTGAAAATATGACTGTATTGAGCTTTAAGTTATTACTAATATTACATTTAAGTAAGAATGATCTCACCTACTAAATTTCTACACAAAACAGAACAGGTGTGCTTTTGTAAGTAATAGTAATAATAATAATCGCAGTATTTAAGCAACAACATAAAGCTCACACAGAGGATGAAAGCAAGAGAGGAAAAATTGCAAACTTACTCTCTTCCTTTGCATAAACCTGAACAAATGCAGGGTCTGAAACTCCACTGGCTTCTTCAGTATATAATGAAATGTTATACAGGACACCGGCTCGCATACCTGCAAGAACAAGTTCAGAATTTTTCAAGTTTTATGATGAAACTTGAATAATGAACATTATTATGTGAACTACATTAATCTACACAACATATTAGACTGTGTTTTTAACTGTTTTTTTATTTGAACCCTTAGATGTTAAGATCAATAGCAAAACTCTTACCTTGTAGGAATGTGATATTATAATCTTTTCCTAATCTCCTCCATTCTAAGTGTACTGGGCTCTGTTGCCACTGCACAACAAAACCCAGAATGCCCTTCGCCTCCTCACTGTAATGAGACACATCCCATGCTAGAAGCATACTGCCCCCTGCTGCTGGAACTAAATGTGTTATCATGGGGGCTGGTTTACCTGTGACACACATACAAAGCAAAGAATATAACATTTTCATGTAGACTAAGCTCATGTAGATGCCTTGTAAATGAATACTATCACTTTCTGTGAGTCCTACAAAACTCAGTAAATAAATAAACAGGTTCTCACCTGTATATGTCAAGCTTACAGGTGCAGGTGGGGAGGAACCAGCTGCTGTCACAGCACTTACGTTAACCTCTGCTGTGCTCAGCTGAAGAGTTTGATGAGTGACATGAGCTGAGCAATTCAGTTCATGGATCTTGCCTTCTTCTTTATAAGATAACTTGTAATATAACATTTCTCCACTGTAATATTCTGGTTTATAGTGCTGTAAGAAAGAGAAATAAATAGTCAACAAGTGAGTTCATGTTGAGGGCAAAGGCCTGTGACGTTATAAATCATTCATTTCAATGAGCTGCCTGATGTGGTTCACAAACTGAACTGAATGATTCATTCTCAAACTGGACTGCTCCAGTTCACAAACTCGCTTCTTGCGTGGGATGGAGAAATAAAGGCGTAGTCCACCCAAAGATTCTCTTATTATGGTTTATAGTTAAAATAAATGAAAAATATTATTCTTTTTTCTTACAGACAGAAAACACTGACTCATCAACTGTAGTCTTACACATTACTGTCATGTTTGCATTACATGTTTTTTTTAAGCACCAACTATGACTACTTGCATATTATAGATCATTTTTGGTTAGAGTAGCCCTTTAATGTTCTGTCTGTTCCTCAGAAAAAGCTAAAGTGTGTCTTCAAAATACCAGGAATAAAGTTTTCAGACTAATATCAAATTTTTTTTTTTTAAGCAAAATATTACCTCAGCACTACAATAAATAACAACAACAATCTTAGACTGTAGATCAAGTTCAACTGGATTTTCAAAACAGAAAAACAGCCCTACATAAAAATCTAGTTAACTGGTAGAACTACACTACTGTTCAAAAGTTTTGGGTCAGTAAGATTTTTGTTGTTTAACCCTTCCACTCACTTTTTTGAACATAGACGTGAAAGTGCACGATCCAAACTTACATTTTTATAATTAATGAACGAAAACATTTTGTAACATGATATTGATGTACCATTTTCATGGTAATGCAATGTTTGATTTTAAAATGGGTTTCAAATGATGAATTTTGAGATTTAAAGTTTTCAATTGATATATAATTTCTGATGATTTCTAAAGTGTGATAGAGAAAAAGGCAACAAGGAAGACTTTTTTTTGACAAAGGTCAGAACTCCTGTTATGATGTAGATTTTTGAGGTGCACTCTTGTCATAAATTAATCTATTACTTTTCCTACATAGATATTTTACCAATGTTTTTTGTAAAATATTATTTAGGAGTCTTAGACCTTTCCAACAATATATAGTTTGTCATGATTAGATTAGGATTTAATTGTAATCTAGTGAAGCAAATTTAGGCGTCCCACAGAGTGGACGGGTGACAGTTAAAGGGTTAAATAGTTTTATTAAGCAAGCATGTGTTAAATTGATTAAAAGTGACAGAATCTTTTGCATTGTTACTAAATATATATATATATATATATATATATATATATATATATATATATATATTCAGCTTTCACATTACATGAATAAATTATATTTAAAATTATAATAAAATAGAAAAAGTATTTACAATAGTTAATATTTTTACTGTATTTTTCATCAAATAAATGCAGTGATGGTGAATGAAACTTTAAACAATCTTACAGACCCCAAACTGGTCAGCTGATTTGCTGGTTATTTAAGATTCCGGTGAAGCTTGTTTCATACTCCGTTTCATATTTTGTTGCATCAGGGTATGACTTAAAAAAAAAAAAAGACTAAGCTGGTTTAATTTTCTGTCTGTTCCTCACAAAAAAGCTAAAGTGTGTCTTCAAAGCATCAGGAATACAGTTTACAGACTAATATCTAATTTTTTTATTCCACTGAAAGAAAGTCAGGCACTTTTAAAAATCATGGTTCCAAAAGGGGTTTTCGGCGCAATGCCATGGAAGAACCATTTTAGGCTCCCCAAACAACAATTTAGTAATCAGTTCTTAAAATCACTAATTTCTAAGATATTTTGATAATCTAAAGAACCTTTTTCCACAATAAAAAAACCTTTTGTCCAATGGTGTTAAAGGTTCTTCATGGAACCACTGATTCTGAGTGTGGTTTTGGAACAACACGAAAGTGAATAAATAATGATTTTTTAATGACAAAAAGTACTTAGAGTGCACCTGGACAATAAACTAATGTGGGCTGCTAAACCAAGAAGCCTGTTGAAGAACTGTGAGAGATCACACATCCACCAGTGTACATGGGACTCTCCTATAGAGATTTAATGAGTGAGCACTTGCTTAAGTCATCTTTTATGCAGTAATGTAATGTCAGAAAATGCTAAAAGACTCCGTAGTTTAATCACTTCACAGAATAGGTATATTTGGGAGACTGATTAAAAGAAAGCTACTTCTGAGAATGACACTAATACATCTGTAAATAACATGTTTTTCATAAAAAAAATATACAGTGGGGTTCAAACATCTGAGACCACAGTGACAATCTGGAATTCAAAATCTAGTTTAACAAATACTTACTGAAATAAATACAATACAGTAAATTAAATGAATAAGAATTATTTAAGAATTGTGAGTCACTAATCACTAAGAAAATATGTGACATTGACCATGTAAACTCTTTTGCACAAATAGAGATGCTGACATTTTCAAAAGGAGGTTGATATTTAAGTATAATGTATTGCTGTATAATGTAAAGCAACTTTCAAAAGTTTAGGGTCAGAAAGATTTAGCATTTAATTGATCAAAAGTGACAGTAAAGACTTTTAATTTATTTTTTACTTTGCTTAAAAAATTTAAAATAAATGTAAAATAAATGTCGTTCTTTTGAATTTTGTATTCTTTAAAGAAGAAAAAAAGTATCAAGGTTTCCACACACACACAAAAAAAACGTTTTTATATGATAATAATAATAAAATGAAATATTGCTTGAGTGCCAAATTATTTATATTTATTTATAAACTTTTAAAAAATCTTACCAACCCCAAACAGTAATTTGTGTTATACAGAGTTTTTCCTTTGTTTGAAATCAACAACCTAATTTCATTTTATAATTTATCTGTCCAGTAGGTGGTGCTGTTACCTTCCACAACACTGTGACATTCAGAGGTCCATGATTACTGGTCCTGTTGTTGACTCTCCACACATCAAGTTTGTGTGAGGGTACTAGAACATATTAAAACAAAATGATTGTCAAAACAATATGCAGGTAAAACACACCGACTAACCTAATGTGACTATAAAGGATTTACCTATTCCTGGGCTGGTTATATTGAAGGGATGACTCCACATGCTGCAGTTTGTTGACGTAACACACACTCTCAGCTCAAACTGATAGAGTATCAATGGTTCTAAGGCTTCCTGCATCAGAACACATCCATCTAGGAGCTCCTTCACACTTCCCAGGCGCTGATCAAATATGATAGCAAAAATCTCTAAGACAGCTAATGGATAGCTTGCTTTTAAAGGAATAGTTGACCCAAAAATGAAAATGTACTCACCCTCTGGCCGTCCAAGATGCAGACGCGTTTGTTTCTTCATCAGAACTGATTTGGAGAAATTTTGCATTACATCACTTGCTCAATGAATCCTCTGCAGTGAATGGGTGCCATCAGAATAAGAGTGCAAATCATTGATAAAAACATCACAATAATCCATAAGTAACTGACACAGCTCCAGTCCATCAATTAACATATTCTGAAGAAAAAAGCTGTGTGTTTGTAAGAAACAAATCCATCTTTATGAAATTTTAAAGGTTTTCTTTAAACCATCGCTTCTGGCTATCCATAATATTGCTTTCTTGTCTTGTATGAATCAGTACTGTAGAAAAATATACACAGATTAAGTCCAAAACAGTTCTAAACAAATATATCGGTAGATTTTGATGTGAGAGGATTGACTTTTTCCCTGCAGCATTATTATGGATTATGGACTCGTATTTTGGTCATAAATGACGATTTAAAATTAAAATGCCTTAATTATGGATTTTTTTCTTACAAACATGCAGCTTTTCACTTCACAAGACATTAACTGATCGACTGAAGTTGTGTGTATTATTGTGATTTTATCAGCGGTTTGAACTCTTATTCTGACGGCACCCATTTACTGCAGAGGATCCATTGGTGAGCAAGTGATGTAATGTTAAACTTTTCCAAATCTGTTCCTATGAAGAAACAAACTCATCTACATGTTGGATATAGCCTGAGGGTGAGCGAATTCTCAGCTAATTTTCATTGTTGGATGAACTATTCCTGTTATGAACTATTATTATTATAAACTTTTTTATATTAGAAATCAGCATTTGACTCTCACCCAGTCCGGGTCATAATGTGCTTCTCTGAACCTCAAAATTGGTTTCAGGTTATCTTCTGAACCATTCCAGTATATTGTAGGAGAAAGAGTGCCATTTTCAAACACAACTCGTGTTATCTCTGGAGTGTTTGGAATCACTGAACAAAAACAATGTCATAAAATCAACATATGATTCAGACTAAACAAATCTATGCGCATTTTGGTATGTCAAATCTATATTCTATAGCACTTTTACTGAGTGAAAGAAAAAGATCAAGAGATCATGATATGATCAAAATGAGAAAGTGCTTCAGAAATGAGTACGTTTGTGTAATTTAGTCTCTTACCAATGTCCCAGATCGAGAAGTTGAAAGTAGAGTGTGACTCTCCTAATGCATTGTGACCTCTTACATGGACTTTGTATGTCATGTTCTCAACAAACAGTGATCGTGGAATAGAGACATGACCATCTTTGTTCATCGCATACTGGAAGAACTGGGAAGTTCTGTCGCTTTGCATGGAAGAAAGACATTAAAGAAACATAAAGCACAAGAAAGATTGTTTCAATATTTAACTCTAAACGAAAAGTTTCTACTTCCTGTCACATTCTGATACGGTTAAGCGTACAATACCGTCTTCATGTAATCAAACTGTTAAAATAATAACATTTGAATAAGAAATACTTACTGAAATGTCACTGTGAAATCTGTAAATAAATATGTCTCAGTTGTGACCATTAGAGAGCAGTTAACATACTCTGAATTTTGGTATGTGACGCAGCTGAATTTCGGTTTACCTGGAGGGTCTAAAGCAGAAAATTAATTCATAGCTGGATATTCGTAATCAAAATCTGGTTAATTGTACAGAATGTTCACAACTAACGAGCATTTTTAACCAAAGGAGACACATATGGGGAATTAATGGTTGATGAATGCCACAAATGTCACTGAATTTCCATTCATATATTTTCATATATATTTATATTTCATGTACATGATCTATTGATCATTAACACATGTGCTGGTGTCTCTTAAGCTCCTTAAGCTAACCCTTCAAATCATTTAAATGGATTTAGTCAGATTGCTTCAGTCGTAATAAATAATATTTTGACCTGAATAAGCCAGTTATTGGAGATATTATGGCGCAGAGCATGTGAAAACACATAACATATGAACTTACAGCCAGCCTTGAAGTCTCGACCGCAAACAGTGTACCATGTGTCTCCCTCCTTTACCTTGCAGAGTAGCCAAAAACTGGGCTGATTGATGACTATTTGTGTTTTTATTACAGAGCAATTAACTGCTTCGAAAATGGTCTGTCCATTGAAGACTATGGCAAAGTGTCTGCCACAGTGCTCAGTGTTTGACTGGCAACCCACAGTTAAGTTGGAGCCCAGGTGGATGACATCTGAGTCTACTATCAACTTTCCAACACAACTGACTCTGTAGCAGTCTAAGCAGAGAGAGAAACCCCTATTCAGTTATAAGCTTAATCATGAAACATTCAAAAAATGTAAAACAAATGCAGTCACAATGACTTTACTCACCATAGAATTTGCTGCTGAAAAGGAGAGAAAAGACCACCTGCCAGACTCTGATGAAAAAATCCATTTCATGCCTTTCTTGTTCTGGGTCTCAATGTTGATCAGTGAATATTGAGTCAAATATTTTTTCCCACACGTCATGCCTAGTCCTTAAGCTTCTTCTCCTGTCCTCTCAAATGCATTTGCATGAAGCAAATCAGCATGTAGTCAGAACATAAAGTGAGTTGCCTTCCGTATCATCATTCCTTTTTAAAGATGTCACATAAAACAGGTCACGTATGTGTGCACACGAGTATATCAAAGGTATTTAAAAACCGCCAAGGTTGAATGTTAACAGAACATGATAAGCTTGCGAGCTGTGTAAATAGTCAGCGTTCACATGAGAGACAGTAATGTTACAATCTTTTTAATGTCAACCTTGTTTTCTCAGAGTTGTCTTGCTCTTTTAAGGGGCAATGACCTAGATTTGTGGTATTTATGCCTGCACTGAAACTCTGAAGCGTGTGTTTCAGCAGTTATGCATCCTACTTATTAAACCACCTTTTTAGTCATCACCGTTCATTAACTGCGTTCAAACAGTTAGTCTACTGAACAGCATACATCAAATGAAATATGCTCATGTTACATTAACTTTACACTCTAAAAAATGCTGGGTTAAATATAACCCAGCGCTGGGTTAAAAAGGGACAAACCCTGGGTCAAAACAACCCAATAGTTGATGACTATTTGTGTTTTTATTACAGAGCAATTAACTGCTTCGAAAATGGTCTGTCCATTGAAGACTATGGCAAAGTGTCTGCCACAGTGCTCAGTGTTTGACTGGCAACCCACAGTTAAGTTGGAGCCCAGGTGGATGACATCTGAGTCTACTATCAACTTTCCAACACAACTGACTCTGTAGCAGTCTAAGCAGAGAGAGAAACCCCTATTCAGTTATAAGCTTAATCATGAAACATTCAAAAAATGTAAAACAAATGCAGTCACAATGACTTTACTCACCATAGAATTTGCTGCTGAAAAGGAGAGAAAAGACCACCTGCCAGACTCTGATGAAAAAATCCATTTCATGCCTTTCTTGTTCTGGGTCTCAATGTCGATCAGTGAATATTGAGTCAAATATTTTTTCCCACACGTCATGCCTAGTCCTTAAGCTTCTTCTCCTGTCCTCTCAAATGCATTTGCATGAAGCAAATCAGCATGTAGTCAGAACATAAAGTGAGTTGCCTTCCGTATCATCATTCCTTTTTAAAGATGTCACATAAAACAGGTCACGTATGTGTGCACACGAGTATATCAAAGGTATTTAAAAACCGCCAAGGTTGAATGTTAACAGAACATGATAAGCTTGCGAGCTGTGTAAATAGTCAGCGTTCACATGAGAGACAGTAATGTTACAATCTTTTTAATGTCAACCTTGTTTTCTCAGAGTTGTCTTGCTCTTTTAAGGGGCAATGACCTAGATTTGTGGTATTTATGCCTGCACTGAAACTCTGAAGCGTGTGTTTCAGCAGTTATGCATCCTACTTATTAAACCACCTTTTTAGTCATCACCGTTCATTAACTGCGTTCAAACAGTTAGTCTACTGAACAGCATACATCAAATGAAATATGCTCATGTTACATTAACTTTACACTCTAAAAAATGCTGGGTTAAATATAACCCAGCGCTGGGTTAAAAAGGGACAAACCCTGGGTCAAAACAACCCAATAGCTGGGTTTGTCCCTTTTTAACCCAGCATTTTTTAGAGTGTACCTTTAAAGTAATGAATTAAAGAATCGTGTTAATTCAAATCCAAAACTGAAAAATACGTACTTCAGTAAGATATGATACATCAAATGGCAGTAGAAGAAGGGCACATGTCATTGCAGAAAAGGTGAAAACCAAACAAACCTTTTCTATTGCACTTAGAACAGTGATTTCTCCTCAGTTTGGGCTCCTCTGCTGTTTCCATCATAGATGTTCACTAGCTTGATCCACAGGGCTGACAACTTGACATAAGGCACATTTGATGTTAGGAGGATGTGAAAACCAGTGGAGGAAGAGAACAATACTCATTAATTCAGTAAAACTTCCTCATGAAGCCTGATGTAATGCCTCTCATTAAACATACATTTTACACACAAACTAGCTCTGTTGATATATAGTAAAAATATACTTAAACATATTAAAGACAGCTAAAAATGTGAGGCCCTGGAACAACCAAATCAGACTGAATTACCCATGATCTCCTCACACGTTCCCGCTCACATGTGCTCAGCATGTGAAAACAACACCACAGAACAGCCTTCCTGCCTGCCCCAGATTTTTGATCTCTTTAAAACTTACTTTCCATCTTAATCTTCAAAGTCTTTCTGGGGAAAACCAACTGACATAGATAAGGTGAATCTGAGGAGTAATACAAAGAATGCACTAACAGTAGATTAATAAGAAGAGGCATTTATAATAATAGTAATAATAAATAAAAATGATAAGCTCTTCATAAACCGTGGGATCAAGTTATTTACCGTAAAGGTGTGGAAACTGAAAAATGAACAAAACAAAAGAAAACAATGAGGTTAGTGTCAGTCCCACAATTACAGTTTGTGTGAAACTGACACGTCTAAACCACAAAGACAGACCACAAGTTTTAAATAAATAAATAAATAAAGGAGGAAAGAAAGAATGACATTAAAAATATCTCATTATTTTGTACTGTATGTTCTTAAAAACCTTAATAACTTTTTCTTTTGTGAACATGAAGAGACATTAAAATATGCACACTTGTTTTGTGTTAATCACCAAAAACTCTCCCAATAGTTACTCATATCTTTTGTCACTTCAAAGCATTTGATTAGACAGTTGCTGACCTATGACTTTATCTCAGGAGTCATCTATTTTTAAAGAACCGCTGTTAGACTACTTTAGGATCATTTGAAGTGATGAGAAAGATTCATATACCTATTTATTAAATAGATGATTTATCAGATATCAGATCAGATATCACATTAAATAGCATCAAAGAGAAAGAGTTAAAAAAGCAACTTAATCATATATCTGTCCTCATTTTGTAACATAAAAACATCCAGCGTGCACAGAATGTGGTCTTTTGACCTCTTTTTTTTAGAAAAACAGTCAGCACCTGCTTCTTTGAACTGTTAATCTACCTAGAAAATGGAAGCCTGTTTACATGTATTAATTGGTGATATAAAATGTGGGCTAATAATCATTTTAGGTTGTCACAGTTATAATGAAACTATTAAAAATTGATTAAATACAATTTTTATGTGTGTTGTTGTTATTCTTGTTTTTATTTAATTGGCAAACTACACAAAACAAAATCAAATGAATTGAATAATAGCATTATAAACATAATAACCCAAAAATAATAAGTATATAGCAATGCATAATTTTGGTCTTTGAGTCTGAAAGGGGGCGTGGTCTTCCAAGGTGCTAAGTTGCTATATCGATCAACAGTTAGTTCTGGTCATCAAATTTGATTGGCTGCACTAATATGTCAAGACTCCCTCAAAAGGTTTATTTATTTGTTTGTTTGCTTATGTTTATTTTTGTAAAATGGTCTTTTGTGCTATCCACACATGCAAAGTTGGTTGATAACATAACCGCAATAAAGTAATAGCCTAGTTAACAATTACATTTGTTTACATAGGATATATAGGCCTAATGTATAGGCCTAATGCTATAGTTGTACATGTTCAACATGCTATGGGAAGTCAATCTAACTTAACATTTTCTTATATAGATATTGTTTATTTCATACTCCTTAACAGTTCATCAGGCGCTTATGCTATCTCTTGGAATATGTGAAGGCCAGGTTTTTCCATCACTCATCATTAGAACCAATTTTCTGTCAGGACCACAATCGTCAAAGATGATTGACAGTTAGCATACAGTTTGGATTGGCGGTATGGTTCTGTTCTGGGCAAGAACTCCCTGCGCATCCATGCAGCCTAGCATGGATAAGAGCAGGGAGAGCAGCGATAACCCCCCCCCAGGGTAAACAGAACAGAACCAACATAAATGTATTGCAGATATCGTTAAGTTCAATAATGCTATGTACACATTTTAGAATTAGTCTGATTCAAGGAGAATCAGAAGGCTGAATCCTGACTGACAGAGGAGGAGTTGGGGATGGAGGAGGGAAATTAGCTATTGAGCAATGCAAAAACTGCTGATACTACTGTGGGACCTTATACAGTGGGTACGGAAAGTATTCAGACCCCCTTCAATTTTTCACTCTTTGTTATATTGCAGCCATTTGCTAAAATCATTTAAATTAATTTTTTTTCCTCATTAATGTACACACAGCACCCCATATTGACCATGATTTATGGCTGTCGATTCTGACTTGCTCTTATGAAAATGTATACCATAGTTCTTAACTGTAGCATTTGTTATAATAAGGCTAGCCTATTCATTACCAGGCCAATAATGACTTTTTTGTAGCATTTGTTATGAAAAACAACAGCCTGTCCTGCACATTTAGAAACAACATACCACAGTTCGTTTTAATATAACCCAAATCTATAGGGAAAAATCGATTCCCTTATCTATTACAAATTCTACCACAATAAATAAGCCTACAATAAAACGTGATAAATTATATTAAAGGTGGTCATGAGTAGTTTAAAAAGATTTGAATATATGTTAGTGCTGGTGCAAGATGATGTTTTCTTTAAGCTTTTTTAGTTTATGTGCCTTTTTTAGACAATGTTCGACTTTTTCCATAGCTTTTTAAAGTGGCAATTTCTCAATAAAATTCAAATAGATCGCACATTTTGCCATCAGCCTCGCGACAGGAATGGCTCGCCTCGCTCAAAGCTCACCACACTTTTCGAGCGCGCTGGTGAATGCACAATTAAAACAATCAAACTCTTGAGTTTTCTGAGACATGCACCAATGGCGGCAATCTCTTCCATCCAGAGAGCACCCTTGCCCTCCAGGACCCCGAAAAAAAAGCACATATGCATGCTGGGACACCACAGGGGAGCACTGCATGTTCTTCACAACAGAAAAAAAATAAAATGATCAAATTAAATAAAATAATAATAATAAAAAAAACAATCAGGAAGATTCTTGTGCATTTCATTGGTCCATGTTTCACTGGATTTGATATGTTATTTAAAATACAATGTACCTAAAAGTTAATGTTAGTTTGAAATTAGTGTGATTTTAGTTGAATATATGCAACAGTTATCTGAAAACATTTCGTGCTACTTTATGCAAAAATCAAATCTGTTTTGATATGCTAATGGACAATGTTAAACTGTTGAATTAAAAAAAGTCTAAGAATTTGAGGTCAAAAAAATATCCC